GTAGAATGAAAGGGGGTAAAGCAGCTGGAACTGATGGGATCATGACAGAAATGTTAAAAGCAGGGTGGGATATAGTGTTGGAGTGGTTGGTACTTTTGTTTAATAAATGTATGAAAGAGGGGAAGGTACCTAGGGATTGGCAGAGAGCATGTATAGTCCCTTTATATAAAGGGAAAGGGGACAAAAGAGATTGTAAAAATTATAGAGGAATAAGTTTATTGAGTATACCAGGAAAAGTGTACGGCAGGGTTATAATTGAAAGAATTTGAGGTAAGACAGAATGTAGAAGAGAGGGAGACTACTTCCCAGTAAAAGTAGGTCTTAGACAGGGATGTGTAATGTCACCATGGTTGTTTAATATATTTATAGATGGGGTTGTAAAAGAAGTAAATGCTAGGGTGTTCGGGAGAGGGGTGGGATTAAATTATGGGGAATCAAATTCAAAATGGGAATTGACACAGTTACTTTTTGCTGATGATACTGTGCTTATGGGAGATTCTAAAGAAAAATTGCAAAGGTTAGTGGATGAGTTTGGGAATGTGTGTAAAGGTAGAAAGTTGAAAGTGAACATAGAAAAAAGTAAGGTGATGAGGGTATCAAATGATTTAGATAAAGAAAAATTGGATATCAAATTGGGGAGGAGTATGGAAGAAGTGAATGTTTTCAGATACTTGGGAGTTGACGTGTCGGCGGATGGATTTATAAAGGATGAGGTTAATCATAGAATTGATGAGGGAAAAAAGGTGAGTGGTGCGTTGAGGTATATGTGGAGTCAAAAAGCGTTATCTATGGAGGCAAAGAAGGGAATGTATGAAAGTATAGTAGTACCATCACTCTTATATGGGTGTGAAGCTTGGGTGGTAAATGCAGCAGTGAGGAGACGGTTTGAGGCAGTGGAGATGTCCTGTCTAAGGGCAATGTGTGGTGTAAATATTATGCAGAAAATTTGGAGTGTGGAAATTAGGAAAAGGTGTGGAGTTAATAAAAGTATTAGTCAGAGGGCTTAAGAGGGGTTGTTGAGATGGTTTAGTCATTTGGAGAGAATGGATCAAAGTAGAATGACATGGAAAGCATATAATTCTATAGGGGAAGGAAGGCGAGATAGGGGTCGTCCTCGAAATGGTTGGAGAGAGGGGGTAAAGGAGGTTTTGTGGGCGAGGAGCTTGGACTTCCAGCAAGTGTGCATGAGCGTGTTAGATAGGAGTGAATGGAGACGAATGGTACTTGGGACCTGACGATTTGTTGGAGTGCGAGCAGGGTAATATTTAGTGAAGGGATTCAGGGAAACCGGTTATTTTTATACAGTTGGACTTGAGTCCTGGAAATGGGAAGTACAGTGGACCCCCGCTTTACGATCAGCTCCCAGTGCGACCAATTATGTAAGTGTATTATGTAAGTGCGTTTGTACATGTATGTTTGGGGGTCTGAAATGGACTAATCTAATTCACAATATTCCTAATGGGAACAAATTCGTTCAGTACTGGCACCTGAACATACTTCTGGAATGAAATAATATCGTAAACCGGGGGTCCACTGTACAATGCCTGCACTTTAAAGGAGGGGTTTGGGATATTGGCAGTTTGGAGGGATGTGTTGTGTATCTTTATATGTGTATGCTTCTAGACTGTTGTATTCTGAGCACCTCTGCAAAAACAGTGATAATATGTGAGTGTGGTGAAAGTGTTAAATGATGATGAAAGCATTTTCTTTTTGGGGATTTTCTTTCTTTTTTGGGTCACCCTGCCTCGGTGGGAGACGGCCAACTTGTTGAAAAAAAAAAAATGGTGATTGATAATAAGGTGTGAAAAAGTTAATGAGAAAGTTTTGTATTGAAGGCATTATCTTGACTGCAGCATAGTCATGAAAAACATTTCTGTTGAGGTTTACAGGGGGCCACTACAGTATTGAGGTATACTTGGAGTTTACCTGGAGAGGGTTTCAGGGGTCAACGCCCCCACGGCATTGGTGGATCATGGTCTGATCAACCAGGCTGTTACTGCTGGCCGCACACAAGCTGACATATGAACCACAGCCCGGTTGGTAAGGTACTGACTTTAGGTGCCTGTCCAGTGCCTTCTTGGAGACAGTCAGGGGTCTATTGGTAATCCTCCTTATGTATGCTGTGAGGCAATTGAACAGTCGGGGACCCTGGACACTTATTGTGTTGTCTCTCACCGTACTCGTGGCGCCCCTGCTTTTCATCGGGGGAATGTTGCATCTCCTGCCGAGTCTTTTGCTTTCATAGGGAGTGATTTTTGTGTGCAGGTTTGGTGCCAATCCCTCCAGGACCGTCCAAGTGTACGTTGTCATGTATCTCTCTCGCCTGATTTCGAGGGAATACAGATCAAGGACCTTCAACTGTTCCCAGTAGTTTAGGTGCCTTATTGTACTTATGTGTGCCATGAGAGTTATTTCTGCACTCTCCAGGTCTGCAATGTTGCCAGCCTTGAAGGGGGCCGTTAGTGTACAGTATTCCAGCCTAGAGAGCACAAGTGATTTGAAGAGAATCATCATGGGCTTGGCACCCCTAGTTTTGAAGGTTCTCATTATCCATCCTATCATTTTCCTAGCGGATGAGGTAGATACATTGTTATGGTCGTTGAAGGCGAGATCCTCTGACATTATCACTCCCAGGTCCTTCACATTACTTTTCTGCTCTATTATATGGTTAGAATTTGTCATACACCCTGATACATTTTTAATTTCTTCAAGTTTCCCATATCTGAGTAGTTGAAATTTCTCCTCGTTGAACTTCATATTGTTTTGAGTGGCCCATTCGAAGATTTGGTTGATGTCCGTTTGGAGTCTCGCGGTGTCTTCGATGGAGGTCACTGCCGTGGTAATCTGGGTGTCATCCGCAAAGGAAGACACGGAGCTTACATCTCTGTTTATGTCAGAAATGAGGATGAGGAATAGAATAGGTGCCTTGTGGAACAGAGCTTTTCACCGTGGCTGCCTGGGACTTTACTCTGTTTACTATTACTCTTTGCATTCTATTTGTCAGGAAGTTATAGATCTATCTACCAACTTTTCCTGTTATTCCTTTATCACGCATTTTGTGTGCTATTACACCATTGTCACACTTGTCGAAAGCTTTTGCAAAGTCTGTGTATACTACATCTGTATTTTGTTTATCTTCTACAGCATCCAGGACTTTGTCATAGTGGACCAGTAGCTGGAACAGACAGGAGCAACCCGCTCTAAACCCGTGTTGCCCTGGGTTGTGTAATTGATGGGTATCTAGGTGGTTGGCGAGCTTGCTTCTTAGAACCCTCTCAAAGATTTTTATGATATGGGATGTTAGTGCTATCAGTCTGTAGTTCTTTGCAGTTGCTTTACTACCACCTTTGTGGAGTGGGGTTATGTCTGTTGTTTTTAGTGTGTGGGATGACCCCTGTGTCCATGCTCTCTCTCCATAAAATGCTGCAGGCACGCAATAGGGGTTTCTTGCAATTCTTGATGAACACAGAGTTCCACGAGTCTGGGCCTGGGGCAGAGTGCATGGGCATGTCATTTATTGCCTCTTCAAAGTCTTGTGGAGTTAGAATAATATCTGAAATTTTTGAGATGACCATGAAGAATCATGAAGAATTCATTTGGATTGTCGACCCTTAGTCTGGGCAGTGGCTCGCTGAACACCGAGTCATATTGGGACTTTGGTATCTCACTCATTTCTTGGCTGTCATTTGTATATGTCCCATCCCGCCTAAGCAGGGGCCCATTACTGGATGTTGTTTTTCCCTTAGATTTGGCATAAGAGAAGAAGAATTTTTTTTTTTTTTTTTTTTTAATTTCCATTATGGCTTTTAGTTCTTCCTGAGATTCTTGTCTCCTGTAAGATTCCTTCGACTTAGGTTCAATATTCGCAATTTCATTGACTAGTGCCTCACTTTGTATTTCAGATATATTGGCCCCACTCAGCAGCTCTGTGACTCTTCACCTTCATCTGTATAGGGAATGTCTCTCTTTTTCTAGTTTACATCTTCTCTTTCTTTTTCTTAATGCAATGTGTCTTGGGCAGATCTCAAGAACCACAGAATTCATTTTTTCAAGGCAAATGTTTGGATCTGTGTTGTTTAGGATATCTTCCCAGCTTGTTTCATGTAGGACATGGTTTACTTGATCCTATTATATGAAGCTCAAGGAATTGTGGTCTTAATAATCACCAACAACCTCCCTCACCTTTTTTGCAGATTGATGTAATGACAAAAGATGTATGGGCTTCATAATAATGCAGGATGAACCAAAATATCGTGTAAAGTTTCTATAAATTTTAAACTGCATGTTTAATGCTTTGTTGCTAATGATGAGGTTCTTAATCTAAAGAATTGGAGCTACTTTCCCCTTCCTCAGATCTGACCTGATTACCTCTTACTCCCCAGGGATTTATGACTCTTACTGGTTAAGTGCTTATCCATGAGTGTATTTTTTTTACACAGGCTGTCTCACACTGAGGTAGGGTAGCCCAAAAAAGAAAAAACATATTCACCAGGAGGCTTTGTGTGCGAGGGGCTTGGACTTCCAGCAAGTGTGCGTGAGCATGTTAGATAGGAGCAAATGGACACGAATGGTTTTTAGGACTTGACATGCTGTTGAAGTGTAAGCAAGGTAACATTTATAAAGGGATTCAGGAAAACCGGCAGGCCAGACTTGGTTCCTGGAGATGGGAGGTACAGTGCCGGCACTCTGAAGGAGGGGTGTTAATATTGCAGTTTTGTAACTGTAGTGTAGCATGCCTCTGGCAAGACAGTAATGGAGTAAATGAAAGTTTTTCTTTTTCGGGCCACCCTGCCTTGGTGGGAAACAGCAAATGTGTTAATAAAAAAAAAATATTAACCATCATTCACTTAAATGTTGTCTTTCTGGCAGCATTTTGACATCACAGTTCAGATGACTCTCTGAGCTACAACAACTCCTACCTCTTCCCCAGAGTTGTCAACTTTTCCAGCCATGATATTGTAATTTTTTTCATTTGTGTGACCTTTTTTTTCAACCAACAGGTAGTGAGTGAAGATGTGATCCAGGTAGCACAGCTGGTTCAGAGTCACATGGAAGGTGTCCAGCAGTTAGCTGTCTCTCTGCCAGTGAACATCAAAGTTGGGCCATCTTGGGGAGCCATGCAGACACTTAATCTCTGAAGGCACCTGCTGTAATTGTCAAAAGGATACTGTAAATACATTTAAAGACAGTTGCAATTAATATATGGAGGGTTAAAGGAAATTGAATATAAAGTATATCATTCTGCTTACAGACAAAATGGTTAGAATTTTTGTTATGCACTATATACATTTTATTAACTATATACTGTATATGTGTAAAGGCATCATTGTATTATATCAGTTACTCTAACTTACTAAAAACATTATTTTAGCATATTTATATTTTTATTATGTTTCATATTTTTGGTGTAGAGTTTGGGTGCAAGAATTTTAAGTTAATTTTGTAGGTGAGGATAATGTTGGAGTAGTTGGTGCCTTTGTTCTGTGCAAGTGAAAAAACAAAAGTGCTCAGTAATTGATAGAGATCATTTATACAAAAAAGAGAGACAGGTGGGAGTAAGAATCATAGGTGAAATATGGCTAGTAAGTATACCAGATAGACTGTGTGGCAGAAGTGTATGGTAATTGGAAAGGCAGAAAGTATGAGTACAGATAAACAGAGTGAGCATAAAATAAAAGGAAGGGATGTGTGCTTAAAATGTTCATTTTGAAGAATTAAAGTGAGCAATACTTAGAAAAGAGGAAAAACTTGCATTCATGTATTTGAAATGGGTAAATGATATGGTGGATTGAGAAGCATTATGGCAAGTGTTGCAGATGTTGAAGATATGTTTGAACTTGTTTAAAACTCTAGAATTTTGTTGAGGAAAATGCATTACATGTTTGAGTGTTTAGAAAAATAAGAGAATGGTTTCCAGCAAAGGCTGTGCTTAAACAAGGTGTGGTCTTTAAAAATAACAATATTATTTGAATTGGATGCTGCCACAATTATAATTGTTGATGAAGAGTGTTATTGGGAAATTGAAAAGAAAAGCTGCAGAAATTGGTAAGAAGAGATTGGAATGGTACATTAACTATGGAGTTAAGGTTAATGAAAAAAATATATAAAAATTAGGAGAAATAATGAAAGAAAAATTTGAGGTCAGAATAGCAGGGGTGAGTGTATCAGCAGATGGGGTATGAAGAATGAGGGAACATGCAGGATAGAAGAAGGCAAAAAGTTGCAGAAGTGTTGAAGAATTTGTGGAGAGAATAGAAGTGTATTAGTGGATACAATATTAAAAATGTACTGTATCAGAGTACAGTGATACTGATACTTTTTTGACAGTCTTTGAATGTTGCAGCATTTGGAAATTTTATGCAGAGGAAATGTTATGTCTAAGAGATGTGTGTGGTGTGACTGTGTTGGAAATATTTATAAAATCACCATAGGTGTGGTGATATGAAAGGTGTAATTAAGAAAGCTAAAGAGAGAATTCTGAGATGACTTTGTAGTATAAAATAATGAATCAAGATAGGTCAATAAGAGGATAGGTAAACCTAGGGAAAGATGGAGTAGAGGGCATCCTAGGAAGAGATGGAAGGAAAGTGTGAATCAGGTGACTCATAAAATTGTAATAAAAAGTTTGGAAACAAATCACAGAATGGGTAGTTTGTGATTTGTAAATGAGGCATTGTGAGATAAGGCATGAACATCCAGCAGACACATGTTAGTGTATTAGATCATAGTAGTGGCAAGTGATATACAAGGAATTTGATGAGCTTTTAAGAGTGTAAGCAAATATTATCTTTGAATGGACTCGAGAGAAATTTACTATCTGATTTTGGTTATGGTGGTTGTAAAGTACAGTGTCTCCACTCTGACAATGGAGTAAGAATGTCGTGGTTCAGCACTGATCCATAATGTCTCCTCCTTACTGTAAAGTCATTCTGGGAAATAGCCTAATTTAAAAATAAAATGATTAACCCTTAAACTGTCCAAACATAGATCTACGTTCATGTGCGTAGTGCTCCGACCTCAATTTTCCCCATTTGAAAGCATGTAAAAAAGAATGTAGATCTATGTTCGGAGCCCCCCGCACGTGGGCGTAGATCTACATTTGGACAGTTTAAGGGTTAATTTGTTTTAGTGGTTGCCACTCAAAATGGTTTTAATATTGTAGGGATCCAGTTTTTCTTTTATTTCTTGCCTAAACAGTTATAAATACAGTTGTGGAAGCTACATTGTAAAACTGTTATACAGTAGTTTCTCTTATCATTCTACTTTGTTCATTATTTCTGCTTTATGTGCTTTTATTTTTGGCAGATTTTGTGTGTTAAGGGCAGGTGGATTACTGATAAATGATAGTGAAATTCAAATCTTTAAACTTTTTTAAGAAAAAAAAATTTTAAGAAAAAAAAATTATAATTAAGGGTTTTAGCTTTTTATTTAAAGATATGAAAATCTGAATTTTTATATATATATATATATATATATATATATAATATATTATATATATATATATATATATATATTATATATATATATATTATATATATATATATATATATATATACACAGTGTACAGTAGGGCCCCGTTTTACGGCATTCCGCTAATACGGTGGTTACAAATTATGACCAAAATTTGCTATACGGCGAGCAGTCTTTCAAACATGGCGTGCCCCACCCGGTTTGTCTGCATTCTCCATGAGCACATAACTCTATTACGTCTGGAAATTTTCCAAAATTTTAAGTGTTTTAAAGTTATTGCATATTTTATATGTACTACTCTGATAATTATACTTATGTGTACCTGTACCTAAATATACTTACACACTGTGCTGGCATGCAGGTACACATTAAAATTACTAAGAGTCTCTCTACTCTTGAAGACACGCATTAAATGTCGTATATTACGCTAATATAGACATTTCTATTAATACATCTATGATATTTTTTTCAAAATTATATAATAAACATGCTACATAACATAACATATAAACATGATACATACACCCACAGTATAAAAATTGACATAAATATGAGATTTGTTTACAAAGCGGTTGGTGGGACTATTGGAAAAATTATGTTTTCTCTAGTCAAACACCAGTAACTTAACTAGAAATTTATTCCTTTCGTATGCCTTTACTCTGTCTATAACTATTCACGACCCTTGTGGGTTTAGCGCTTCTTTTTTATTGTGATTATAATAATAACTTGTAATAATAATAATTTGTAATAATAATAATTATTTGTCAGAGCATCATTCCTTCTAAAAATTACATGAGAATGGAAGTGTTGGTCTTTATTTATTCTACTGTACCACTGTCAAGACAACTGATACACAATATAATGTGTTTATATTATGATATAAGCTTTACAAATATGGAAATGAATGTGTATCAACCCACCAACCGTGTTCGTCTGTTCGTTTACATACTCTGCAGCTCTGTCATCTCTCATGTACTAGTTCTCTCTCTCTCCCTCATTTATTCATTTTTATATCGTTTACTCACCTCTCACCCTACATTAAGACTACAAATATTTTAAGGTAAGTAATGAGTGTACTGTACATGCATTTTATCGCTCTAGGGAGCTTTAATTGTCATAGTGGGTGGGGTGGCCAGGCGGGGTGCCATACCTCCCATACGACTTTCTACAAATAAATACTTTTCACCTCTCACCTTACTACAAATATTTTAAGGTAAGTAACGATTGCACTGTATATGCATTTTATCACTCTAAGGCACTTAAAGCATTGTAGTATATTATGTGTGGGTGGGGTGGCCAGGAGGGCTATCGCACCTGACTTCTTACAGTAAATACTACTCTCCTTTTAGGCCCTACATTAAGACTACAAATATTTTGAAGTAAATAATGAGTGTACTGTGTGTGTATTTTACTTTTTATTGCTTTTTAATGCCTAGTTCTATTGCTAACTTAATATATGTTAGTGTAAACTTGTTATCTGGTATTTATACACATTTATAAGTGGAAAAATGGGGTTCCGCTTTCCGACAGTACCCTGGAACCTAACCTGCCATATAAGTGGGGCCCTACTGTACTGTAAATTTTCTGGTTTCTTCCAATATGTGACTGCTTTAGCTCTCAGTATGTATAATATAAATGCATGTAATATATTTCGCACAAAAATTTTAGGGATAAGTATACTGTATATATCTAGATTAGCACCATCAGTATATTTTAATTGTTGTATTCATAAAGTAATTTTATAAATATAATACCATAGTTATTTAATATTTTTACACGTATAGTTTATACTGTATACCGTATTTATGTGATTATCAAACTGTTCCTATTTAAATAAGCTTGATTTGTAATTATAAAGTCACTCAAGTTTACAGGGCAATATGACTAATGCTTTTTAATAAGTTATAAATCTTAGGCATATCATGTATTTTGTTATTATCAGGAATGTACTGTTTATATAATGGAATAAAGTGTATTTAACATAAGGTGTTTACATTGAAGAAAAGGGCATATAGTCTTTATAAATTTTAACATTTCACTTGGTTTGAAATCAGAAAACAGTGTTTCATCTGTAATAGTGCTGTGTGTGTTATTAAAATTTACATTTTATTGTGTTTGTTCAGATAGCATTAAGAGGAAAATGGAGTTTGATTGGGTTTATTAAGATTGTACTATGGTTGAACCCACAAATTTATGGGGCTGCTAATTCATGGAATTCAATTATCCAACATTTTTATTGAGAGAGAACCCGCAGATAAAATAATTTAAATGTTTTAACAGAATGAAAATCCAAAATGAAAAATCATATATCATTTTGTATTTTATCTATTATACAAATTATAATACAATACATCAAAAACCTACAAAGTCAATACATCATCATTTGGTGACTTCAGTCATTTATGGCAGTGTCCCCTTGCAAAAAGTTTTGGTTACTTGCAGGGCAGTAATTTCATTATTTTATCAAGGTATTCATTAATTTGTATATGGGAGACCCCTAGCTGCATAGCTGGGAGGATGGGTAGGTGAGTGGGTGCAGCCACCCTAGGCAGCATGGTCCAATTATTATAATAATCAAAAAGAAGCGCTAAGCCACAAGGGCTATAACATGGTCCAAGAGGGCAGCAGAAAAGTGGTAAAATAAAAAAAAAATTAACTTTGTGAAAGTCAGTGCACATCAAACAGCAATATAAATACTCTTACAGCTTCAGTGACTAACTGATGTTTGGCAGGTCCAACACTTATTACTCATATACTGTATTTGTCTGACCTATTTTTAAAACTTCACAAGGTGTTAGCTTTAATGGCCCTGGCACGGCCATACCCAAAACTGTTTTATTCTTAGGAAGGAACACAAACTTGGGTAGTTTTTTGGGTTTAATAAGAATTTCAGGGAAACCGCTTATTTTTATATAGCCGGACTTGAGTCCTGGAAATGGGAAGTACAATGCCTGCACTTTAAAGGAGGGGTTTGGGATATTGGCAGTTTGGAGGGATATGTTGTGTATCTTTATACATACAGTGGACCCCCGCATAGCGAACGCCTTGCATAGCGAACAATCCGCATAGCGAACGCTTTGTTCGCTAAAATTTTGCCCCGCATAGTGGACAAAAACCCGCTCAGCGAACTTCGTCCGAGACGCGTCCAATCTGCGCCCTCAGCCAGCCTCACATGTGCCGCCCGTCCCATTGTTTACCAGCCAGCCTCCGCGGTAACATTCAAGCATACACTCGGAATATTTCGTATTATTACAGTGTTTTCGGTGCTGTTTGTGGAAAATAAGTGACCATGGGCCCAAGAAAGCTTCTAGTGCCAACCCTACACCTCAAAGGGTAAGAATACCCATTGAAATGAAGAAAGAGATCATTGATAAGTATGAAAGTGGAGTACGTATCACCGACCTGGTCAGGTTGTACAAGAAACCAAAATCAACCATCGCTTCTATTGTGGGCAAGAAAACGGCAATCAAGGAAGCTGTTGTTGCCAAAGGTTTAACTGTGTTTTCGAAACAAAGATCGCAAGTGATGGAAGATGTTGAGAGACTCTTATTGGTGTGGATAAATGAAAAACAGCTAGCAGGAGATAGCGTCTCTCAAGCGATCATATGTGAAAAGGCTAGGAAGTTGCATGACGATTTAATTAAAAAAATGCCTGCAACTAGTGATGATGTGAGTGAATTTAAGGCCAGCAAAGGTTGGTTTTTAGAGATTTAAGAAGCGTAGTGGCATTCCATAGTGTGATACGGCATGGTGAGGCTGCCAGTTCGGACCACAAAGCGGCTGAAAAATATGTGCAGGAATTCAAGGAGTACATAGAAACTGAAGGACTGGAACCTGAACAAGTGTTTAATTGTGATGAAAACAGGCCTGTTCTGGAAGAAAATGCCAAGCAGGACCTACATTACTCAGGAGGAAAAGGCACTCCCAGGACATAAGCCTATGAAAGACAGGCTTACTTTGTTGATGTGTGCCAATGCTAGTGGTGATTGCAAAGTTAAGCCTTTATTAGTGTATCACTCTGAAACTCCCAGAGCGTTCAGGCAAAAGAATGTCCTCAAGGATAATTTGTGTGTGCTGTGGAGGGCAAACAGTAAGGCATGGGTCACTAGGGAATTTTTCTATAACTGGTTACACCATGCATTTGCCCCCAATGTGAAAGATTACCTAACTGAAAAGAAATTAGACCTTAAGTGCCTCTGGTGTTAGACAATGCCCTGGTCATCCTACAGACGTGGCAGAGCGACTTTATGGGGACATGAGCTTCATTAAGGTGAAGTTTTTGCCTCCTAATACCACTCCTCTCCTGCAGCCCATGGACCAGCAGGTCATTTCCAACTTCAAGAAACTGTACACAAAAGCTCTGTTTCAAAAGTGCTTTGAAGTGACCACAGACACTCGATTGACTCTAAAAGAGTTTTGGAAGGATCACTTTAATATCCTCAATTGTGTAAACCTTATAGGTAAGGCTTGGGAGGGAGTGACTAAGAGAACCTTGAACTCTGCTTGAGAAGAAACTGTGGCCAGAATGTGTAGACAAAAGGGATTTTGAAGGGTTTGAGGCTAACCCTGAGAGGAGTAGTATACCAGTTGAGGAATCAATTGTGGAATTGGGGAAGTCCTTGGGGTTGGAGGTTAGTGGGGAGGATGTGGAAGAGTTGGTGGAGGAGGACAATGAAGAACTAACCACTGATGAGCTGATAGATCAACTTCAAGAGCAAGAGGCCAGACCTGGGGAAACTGGTTCAAAGGAGGGGAGAGAGAAATTGAAGGAATTGCCTACTTCAAAGATTAAGGAAATGTGTACAAAATGGCTTGAAGTGCAAACCTTTTTTGATGAAAATCACCCTACACAGCTATTGCAAGCCGTGCTGGTGACTGTTACAATGACACTGTTGTGAACCACTTTAGACAAATCATAAAGGAACGAGAGGTACAGGC